ACATCTCTGCTGGATTCTAAAAAATCAAGGTATACCTACGCTTGCATACGACATACATAATACTTATATGTGCGTCTGCTGTACAAAGGGCCTATCGCCCTGCCCGTTTACCTGATCTCAACGTTTCTGTCAAACTTTGCAACAACTTAAAATTGTTCTAAGTTGAAATATTTCTAATCCTAATTGGGAGGTGTCTCGATGAATCATCTCACCACCTAGTTAAAAATATCTAGTCATAAAAGTTTTCTAGAACGCGTTTTGATGACATTTATAAACGGCGCGTTTATTTATAGCCGTCTATGCCGCCTACTGTCTAAATAAAAGCATACCTAAGTAGTGCATAGACGGCCTGGGAAACATAATTACAATACACAATTTTGGACAAAATCTATAGTACTTGCAACTCAGGAAGGCGCGTGAGCTTTTCTTGTGTGTGTACGTGTACTGTACATAACGATACTGTAATGTCATGTCTATGAAAACTATTGAAAAACGAGCAGTCAGTAGCGAGCGAGCCACCACACATGTAAAGCTCAGTCGCCTTCGTCAATTGCAACAACTATTACATAATTTCACAGTCCGAACTGACCTAGACTTTTTTCTCTACCGCAACACAATCCCTTGAAAAATTTATAGCCCGCTAGCGTTCCAATCGCCTAGCCTAGGCCCTAGACAGATAACGCATAGATTGCGCGGGCGCAGATGCGATAGCGGCTAACGGCTGTCCCCAGCTGAACCTAACGGGCGCGTGACCTTGCCGCTAATGCTCATATTTAATTATATTCAAACGCTAGCTCATTACAGACCGGTCAGCTGCTTAAAGACATAATTCAGGACTTCTCAACACTTTATAATAGACACAAGTCTAATGTGTAGCTTAAAAGCACACACAGTTGAGTTTACGCGGTAGGTGCCGCTTTAATTTATGAAATCTATGTAAATCTTATTATCAAGCAATTTGCTTGCAATGCTTAATATAACGTCCGCAAAACAATGAGAAAGTCTCTCCCTCAATTTACCGACAACTAGGTAGAGCTTTTTTTGGTCAGTTTAGACTGACCCATGCGTCGTACTTTTACCATTTGCAACATTGTTGCAACCCATTAAAAAGCTGAAAAAGAACGAACCGCCAACCTCTAATCTTGCGCCGGCCACTGAGAAAACATGCAATAAAGTCCGGCAACGTATTGTGTTCCCAACTCTATTTTAGTTACAATGCAATACAACTATTGGGTATGATCATTATTGTAGTTTCAGTTCTACTTATATTAAGATCATGTCATGATGAAACCTTTAGGAAGGGTGATAAAAGTTAAAATAAATAAGGTTGGTATCTCACGTACTTATTAGATTATTTTCTTTATATTACTCCTAATTAAGTATGTTTCTACAGTTAGTATTAAGGGTTATTATCTACCCGATCAGGGATCACATTAATCTCACGACATTTTGCACAATGCATGCGCGTGCAACGCATTCACTCGAGAAGCTTCGTTGCTACACCGTTTTCCTTAACGCATATAAGTACCAAGGACTAGGTACATCTATTCTAAGCTCAGTTATGTCGGCAAAACAGGTGATTCATAAGACGAAACCAACTTTTACTGAAAAAACTATATATTTTGCTAAAACCTTAGCTTTTTAGACTAAGGCCGAGTTGCACTTTGACTTAGGTACTTTACTTTAACAAACGTCAAAAAACTGTCAAACTCCATACAAAATCACCGGTTATCACCTGTAAGTCACCGTTAAAGTTAGTTGGTACAACTCAGCCTAAGTAGTTAAAGTTAAGTACTCAAATAGGTAACATTAAAACTCATTTTCACAAAGAACTCGAACGGATTATGCCATGCCATCCAATTTAGATGGTCTAAAGTCCAGAATCTACTTACTTCGGCCAATCAGGCTAAAACCACTCGCAATGTCCTAACCAAACTGGAAATCCCCAGTCTTCTTTTTCATTTTCATTCCAGGGTGTACCTAATATGATAACCATCACCAATTTCAAACTCAATTAGTGTGATCATGATGAATTTATGGTTGTATTAAAGCTGCACTAGAGCTTTACTTATCCCGTCCTACTTGATAATATCACAGATATTACGATGATAATATCTTTAAAAGTCACGTTGTACATGTTTATATCCACTTTTTTCAGTCATGTCCGTCAGAATTATCTTAATAACTAGGCTTAAATGACACATTTGCATAAACCTTTACATGTTTCTGATCGGCCAGGATTAAACAGGACCCTGTCGCTTTTAATGAGCTCTTTAATTATTTCCACCTGCCACAAGGCAAGGTTTTTAAACTTCCGTGAGAGAGCTCTCCGCTGTCAGTCTTACGAAAGGAAATGTTCCTCGCATGCTATCCTGTGATAAGGAGTTAGACAGATATGTCAGATTCTGGTGTTTGATCAAATTAGATAAGTTTCGGAGGCGGCAGGAGATGCCTACAGCGATGTTTAGAGCATGTTCACTATTTTTATGAGGAACAGTGAGATAGGTCCTACACAAAGCCCTTTATGACTGTAGGTGCATGGCTTAATTTATGCCCCAGCACTTTTGATTCCGTCTAGCCGAACAAACATGTTCCAAGGATAATTTCAACAATGGGACCTTTTCTAGGGATCGGTACCTAACCTACATGTTTCAAGAGTAACAGTTTGTGATAAGTAGATCGTGATCATGGTCGCCGACACAATAAAGAGTTGTACTTACTTATTTTTTCAGGTACTATCTCTTTCAAGTTATCGAGTCAAAATTGGCTGCTGATCACATGCAGACCCTCGTCAGAACACCAAACAGGTTTGGTGTGATAACCGTTTCGCGACATTTGTTTTGCATATTTATCTCCACTCGGGCAGGTCGGGCGGCGCCGGGCGAAAGACAGATGGAAGCCTAGTTCAATGACATTTACAAAAAAGTTGCATTTAGTACCTACCTCAAAATCCACCAACCACCGAACCTGAACAAACGAACGAAGAGGCTTAAAATAAAAATTTAACTAAGTTACCTGTATTTTCGGCTTTATCAGATGTAAAACAATATCCATCATCGAATGCCCTACAATTTACTTCTTAATTAAGTCCGAATAACAAATTATTCATACATGAAATCTTTTTACATTATCGTTACCCGGCCCTTGTATACAATGATAATAACATTCAGTATATTTGGGTCATAACACCAACGTAGCAGCCTAGCAGCGGGAACAAAGGCGAATTGTGCATTCGCATGTAAAATGAATTTCATATTTATTCATCACTGTACAGACAGATAGGTAAGTATAACTTATTAAGGCATTCGAGTGGGTTCTTATGTGACCTTCTAAAAGCATAAAATATAAGTATCTAAGTATATGATAAAATTGTTGTAATCGTAAAACTGAATAGGTATAGAGTAGAACGTTTCTCTCGAATTGAGGACTCTCCTTTTGAAGTCGGTCGAAAATAGGAATTATTCCTTGAAGTACACCGATTCTGAATCGCTCCTAATGTAGCGCGCCTATAAAAAGATTTTTTAATTTTATGTTTACAGATGAATAAAAAGTACCAGGGCAACATAGCATAGGGGCGCTTCGAGGAATACTTCGAAAATGAAGATGGCCTGCAGGAGAGCATCAGGGAAGTCTCGAATCAAACTACTTACCTATTGTAGACTCGGCAACTAGGTAGATACCGGATTTTAATTGCCTACCTAACATTAATAATGGATCTTTAGAGTAGGCGCACACCGTTGATTTTTAGTTGGCCGATAGTTGTGCCAGATTTTAATTTGTATGAAGAATCGGCCAAATCGAATCGGCGTAGTGTGCGCACTCCCATACATACCCATACTGATCAACTGCCCGACTAAACTATCGGCCGACGAAAAATCAACGCTGTGCGTCTACTCAAGATGTATTATTATCGCTCTACTGGACGTAGGCTAAATTAATGAAAGGCTGTCGGTCAAAGTAATGTAATTGTGAATAATGATGCTCTACTTACTCCGGAAAAATATTTTCATGGCTACAAAGTCGCGGGAATACCTAGTAATTTATATGAAATATTCAGAAAGTTTGGCTCATGACAACCTTATTATTTCGCATGTAATACAATACCTATTCAATTTTCCATCTGAAAAAGCAAATCATAGAACTGGAAATAATACTCAATGAAAATTCATCCAAGACATATTTGATTTGATTAAAATAAATTGGTATGAAAATGAGATGTTTTGTTTTACATTATATTTTCATTGAAATTGACTTCTTTCATTAACTACTAGTGATGAAAAAAAATGTGGGTCCACCCAATATTTGTAAATATCAATAAAAATTAAAATATTAAAAATAATACTAATTTAGGTCTCAAAAAATATGGGTAGCAAAATTTTTTGTCAACTTAATTTTTTTGAATAAAGTATTTTCTAATTTTTAAATCAATGTCTGCAATTCTTAAAGCACTGACATAATTAACTGATAACAATTATAAAATTTAAAAAGTTCAACGTAATATTTGATTCAATCAATGTGATATTTCACAACATTGACTCAAATGTCTACGGACAATGCTTTTGCTGGAAACACATCCTCATGTAGTTATTACATATTAATTGTTGGCTACGATCTGTCCAAATTTTGAGAGACAGTGCAGAAGTTATATTAGGCGGAGCAAAAGTCGTGATATTTAAAAAATTTAAATGATCATCGATAAATTTAAAGTGAGTAATAAAATTATTTTTTTACATAAATAACTTTATTTACAAACAATGTTAATTGAAACAGTCTTTCTAACAATAAAATTCTTAATATTTGTCAATCGAAAAGTCACCAGCGACTTCAGACAATTTCAACGGATGATGAAAGCAAGCAATGGATGGCAATTAAAATAATAATTTAAAGGTTAACAAACCTAATGGTAGGTAGCATATTGAATTGAAGTTTGCTGGTTATTGAACAAATAAACCATTTCATAAATAGCACATTTTTTACAGTAAACTGTTTGTTTTTCAATCATTATTTAAAATTTAGGTTCTGTAGGTATCTACTCAAATGTACAATGTGAAAGTGAACTTAGACCCAAAGAAAATAGTGACTGTGCTTGATTAATAAAGGTGCATTGCACAAATGCGCAGACAAGCAATGAAATCTTAACAATTACTTGTATATTACACAAGCCATAAGTGGCTCAAACTTTCTTAGACTTACAATATACAAGTCCTTACTGGACTGCATATCTAGTTACTCTTTCATCACATAGAATCACCAATGTCCTTCATAAAACTGGATAACTTATAGGTTAAGTTGACATCACTTCTTGACCTGTGCTGGCGCGGTGGGCGCCGTCGCCGCTCGCTGTTGCGCTGCGGACAGCTGCGGCGTGTTTGTAGCTAGCGCTCTCAGCTGCTGCTCAGCCGCTGCGTTCACCATCTTCGTCACATTCGACTTCATTTTGTTCTTCTCCACAGCCTGAGCTTTGCTCTTGACAGGCGCGTTACTCCGCTTCGTCACGGCTTTACCTTTCGCCTTCTTCACTTTAGCGCCTGACGGCAGCTTGCTTTTTACCTTTAACTTTCCTTGGGCCATTTTATGAAATAAAATAAAATAATACGCAATTTGTGTTCACAACAGGCGATTCACCACGTTATTTTGACGTTTGTTATTGTCAATCTTGACATTGACGTTTTGCGTTCCGTTCAGAAACTACGTCTGGGAATTTTTCGATCATTATAGTCTGTGTCGTCCGATAGTTAAGGAGGCAAAACATGACAGTTGTAATTTCGAAATGTTTTCGTATCGCTCTGGCGTTTTTTAAGGAACTCCGTAAAAAAAAGTCACGCCGTGAAGGGATATTATATCTTCGGACCGATCACATAATGTCACCTCTAGGGCAAAGGCAGAGATGTTCAAATAGTGTTGCAAAACTATCGATATTTGATTATGCCCTTTTTCATCATCAATCCCTAATTTTTAAGTGACCCTTATGAAAACAAAATTCGTGTTATGTGGTAGGTCCCCTATGGTAGGTCACTTAAAAATTAGGGATTGATGGTGAAAACAGGCATAAGTCTCAATTTTAATTTTAAATTTATCGATAGAATCAATAGTTTTTAATCAATCTATGCATGGTATTGTAATATCGATATTCGACTTTTTACATTATTCCATTTCAGCCAAATGACGTCCACTGCTGGACAAAAGCCTCCCCAAAGGTTTTCCATAATGAACGGTCCTGCGCTGCCCGCATCCAGGCTCTTCCTGCGAATAGTATTAATTAGTACCAGTATCGAAACTATCGGTACTCCCTGCCTGATATTGATTAATAATGGTTTTAACTTTGATCTTATTCTTACAACATTTTGTAGTGCCTGTTTAGTGCATACTTTTTTTTTTACTTACCCGTCAATCTGTATTTTCACAGAACGGCGCGCCGTTCTCTAAAATCTTTATTCACCATTGTAGCCTAATTTTAAAGACATTGAAGTACTAAACGCTGTACCTAAATGTAGAAACCTTGTATCAGTAACTCTTTAGTCACGTATATTTTCGCTAATGTGGTTACATTATTTACCTACCTACGTTCCCAAGGCAGTGAAATGTTCTCATAATTCGAGTAAAAAGCTCCCTAAATAGAATGTTTGACTTATGCCCGCTTTCACCATCACTCCGAAATTTTTAAGTGACCCCTATGAAAATAAAATTCATGTTAAGCGTTACCATACCACTTAAAATTAGGGATTGATGGTGAAAACGGGCATTAATACCTTAGATTATTATTAAAGCCTTACTATTTACTTTCATGATTCCCTATGTAGGTACTAAGGATTTTTTTTTATGTGACAGGAGGCAAACGAGCAGACGGATCACCTGATGGTAAGTGATTACCGTCGCCCATAGACACCCGCAGACCCAGGGGCGTTACAGGTGCGTTGCCGGCCTTTATTCCGTCCGGAAACACCGCAGACGACAGTCCATTCCACAGTTTGGTTGTACGGGGCAGGAAGGATAATGTAATAAATAAAATACAAAATTAATATATTTTACGGACTTTTATTCATAAATCGACTGTTGCAGTATATGAATTCGAGTTTCAAGTTTAAGAAATATACATAATATAATAATATCTAAATATATTTTATGTACAGATAAATAGAAAAGTAGTCGAGTATAATAATCGGCTATCGATAGATTCCAGCGGCGAGAGTGCAGGCGACCGGCGGGAAGCGGTGCGGACGAGGCGCACCTCGCCATAAAACGTCTAGAAAAATAGATAAATCGCTCAAAAACGTCAGAGTCAGTCGAAAAGATAGAAGAGGAGATCGGGCAATTCGAAGGCGGCCACGACGCGCGTTGAACACAATCAGGCCCGTCTCACGCGTACTCCGTGTCGGTGGACAGCGAGCGCTCGGCGGGCGAGCGCCGGCCCGCCGCCTCCGCCGCCGCCGGCTCGCCGGCCTGCGCCTGCGCGTACGCCAGGCTCTTCTGGTAGCTGAACAGCTGCCGCTCCAGCGAGTAGTTCTCTGCCTGCAACGCGGCGATCTCGCGTCTGCAACAAGCGCATGCGATCACAACACGGCCAAAACCAAGGAGGCACAACACAAACTAATTACATTATATTGCACAACGCACCTCATTTGATGTCCATGCAGACGACACAGATCGTCGTATACATGATAAGTAGCCTGGAAGAGCAAGTAAGTGTCGCCCCATTCGAGGCGTACACGAAGTTCACTGCCCGAGTGCAGAAAAGGGCACCCGGCTCGAGAAACGTCCTCGACGCGGAGCGAGGTCTCCATCATGAGGCCCTCGTCGGCGCTCTCCTGCGCATAGTAGTGCTCGAAGGGAGCGCCGGGCAGCTCCTCGGCGTCGGGCTCACCGGGCGCGGGCGCGGCGCGCACCAGCCACGCCGACCAGCTGACGTAGCGCAGGTGGTTGCGCGGCACGTGGTGCACGTCGCGGTACAGCATGTGAAGCCGCACCGTCTCCGAGTGCATGTCCACGCGCACCGACCACGCCTGCTTGTCGCGGTCGTAACACGTCGCCGCCCGCCCGGCCGTGGGCACGGCCAGCTCGGCGAGAGCCCGCGCCCATAGCAGCTCCACTGTGAGGCGGACTCCCTTGTTGAGAAGACGATTCGGCGGCCGCGGGTTCCATGGTGGCGTGCGCCCCTCGGCGTCGCAAACGCACTCGAGTGGGCCGGAGTGGAGCCGCCGTTCTCCCTCGCCGAGTGCGAGAGCGTATCTCACTCGGCATCGCTGGCCCTCCCCGGACAGTCGCATCAGCCTCAGCGATAGTGGTTCTTTGTTGCCGGCGGTCGCAGAAACGGACCAATCGAAACCGGCGAATGCGAAAGGTGGAGTATCGAGGCGCGGTGCGCGCAGCTCGCAGGAGTAGAGCGTGCGCACGCGCGACATGCTGAGCTCGAGCTGGAACTCGCCGCGCGCGTCCGCGAACTTGGCGTTGAGCTCGGTGAGCGACACGCAGCGGCCGCGGCCCTGCGCGGCGCAGCCGGAGCTGAACCGGACCTGCTTGCCGGAGAAGCCCTCATTGGCGGTGAAGTGGTCGCGGCTCAGCAACGTGAAGGTGAAGTCGACGTACACGCGCATGCCCTCGCACGCGCCGCGCCATACTAAATATACACCTGAAAAGGAAATTTATGTGAGAAATCTAAAAATGATATGAATCGAAGTCTAATGTTACATTTATCTAGGTACATACGCTTAGAGCTAGCTGGGTAGTGTAGGTATGCCTATACCGACTAAGGGAATGCTGATGATAGCTCATGTAATAGTGACCGAGCGATTTATCTGGTGCGCGCAGCAGAAGTCCTTGGAGGTGACGTCGTGGTGGACTCGCGAATGAATACGAACGTTTGCCTATATGCCTGGAGCTAACTAGATAGAGGATACTCCGCTCTCAGTCCAACAACTGCGGAAAGACTAAGAAGGCTGCCAATTGCTTTACGATACTTACCGAGCGAGGTGTCGGTGCGGCTGAACGCGACGGCCCATCGCTGGTGCGCGCAGCAAAAGTCCTTGGAGGTGACTTCGCTGTCAGATTCACGCGTGACCACGAACGTTTGCATATACACTTGAAGCTGGCTTGGTAGAGTAGGTATACTACGCCATATTGCATCTCAGTTCCACGACTGATGGAAGACTGGGAAGACTGCCAATTGCTCTGCGATACTGACTGCATTACAGTCCTTAGATGTGACGTCGCGATCGAGCTCGCGCGTGAACACGAACGTTTGCATAACTAGATAGATGATACTCCGCTCTCAGTCCAACGACTGCGGGAAGACTAAGAAGGCTGATGATAGCTCGTACGATACTGACCGAGCGAGGTGTCGGTGCGGCTGAACGCGACGGCCCATCACTGGTGCGCACAGCAGAAGTCCTTAGACGTGACGTCGCGGTCGGGCTCACGCGTGACCGCGAACGTTTGCCTATACGCTTGGAGCTGGCTTGGTAGAGTATACTACGCCATATTGCATCTCAGTTCCACGACTGATGGAAGACTGGGAAGACTGCCAATTGCTCTGCGATACTGACTGCATTACAGTCCTTGGATGTGACTTCGCGATCGAGCTCGCGCGTGAACACGAACGTTTGCATAACTAGATAGATGATACTCCGCTCTCAGTCCAACGACTGCGGGAAGACTAAGAAGGCTGATGATAGCTCGTACGATACTGACCGAGCGAGGTGTCGGTGCGGCTGAACGCGACGGCCCATCACTGGTGCGCACAGCAGAAGTCCTTAGACGTGACGTCGCGGTCGGGCTCACGCGTGACCGCGAACGTTTGCCTATACGCTTGGGGCTAGCTCCATAGAGTGTACTCCGTCACGTTGCATCTCGGTTCATAGACTGAGGGAAGACTAAGAAGGCTGATGATAGCTCGTACGATACTGACCGAGCGAGGTGTCGGTGCGGCTGAACGCGACGGCCCATCGCTGGTGCGCGCAGCAGAAGTCCTTGGAGGTGACGTCGCGGTCGGGCTCGCGCGTGGCGGAGCGCGTGACCACGAACGTGAACACGTGCGTGTCTGCGCGGTCCTTGAGCCGCGTGGCGCGGTACAGCAGAGCCATGCGCGAGCCGCACGCCGGCCCCGCCCTGCGCCTGCCCTGCGCACAAACTAATGCACATTAACACAACATAGTCGGGACCATTCCCATCTTTCGTTCCCACCGCTGCAACTCCTAAGCAGCCAGGATCTACAGCTGGACTGCCAATAAAAACCCAACCAGAGAAGGTCAAGTTTGTCCCTGGGGAAAGTTAAACTGTCATTGGACCCGCAACGAAATTAAAAGAACCTAGTACCCATTCAGCTACACGACGTCCATAGCTGAACATAGGCCTCCCCCAATGATTTCCAGATTGGCCGGCAGCGGCTTGCATCCAGCATCTGCTCACTGCTGGCAGTGGCCGCTGCCGACCAATCTGGCTATCTGCTAGCTGGTTGCATATCTCAGATCATAAGTTGCATATGAATTCAAAGAAGTTTTTCAGATTGTGCCGGTATGCACAATACTAAATCTCTTCATTTTTTAATTAAAATTCCCTGCGACTGAGCACAAACTAGCACGTTAACACAATGTCTTCATCATCATTTCAGCCACAGGATGTCCACTGCTGAACATATGTATGCCTCCCCCAATGATTTCCAGATTGGCTGGTTGGTAGCGGCCTGCATCCAACGTCTTCTTCCATCTTTATGAGGTCATCTGTCCACCTTGTGTATACCATCCACCATTATAAGTGCAATATTGAATGTAATACGCTTACTTATCATTTTTATGAGGAAGAGCAATGTCCAATGTGCCATTAACTTAACGATGTTTCTATTTCTTCTACAGTCAGTGTTTATTTGGCGCCTGACGTAATAGTAAAGCAAGTATTCTCATCTGCGTAACAGACTAACTAAGGGCACTGTGATAAATTTAAGTAGGTAAAAATTATGGATATTGAAAGCCAGAAGCACTATAACTTCATGAAGATACCTACCTCTACATAGTTTGGGTACACCAGTTATCACATTAGGGATAATACGTCGATAAATTCCCAAATCTTAGCATTTAGATTTAGCTGCAGACAGTAAAAAGATTATTAATGTCCTATTCTCGTATTCAGAAACGATTTTTTTAACTACGGACAGTAAAAAAATATTTTCTTACGAAACGAAGATTGAATCCGTCAATCGACCTAACTAATGCTTCAGTAATAGAAACGGGCTTTACCTACATCATAAAACGAATATTAGGTAAACCATAACGTCTTAACCACGTAATATGAATCAGTTTGTAAGTTTTACCCGAGTTAAACGGTTCGCTGATACGAGTACTTGCTACTTATGAGGTTAAAGAGTTCGAAACTTATAAATGCACTTAAACTGCAGATGAGTGAAGCGGGGAAGTTTTCAAATAACAAAGAATGCGAATCTTCGGCTGGAGCGTTTATACGGATTCCGGACGAACGTAGAACTTCGATTTGCGGCCGCAACTTCGCGCAACCGGCCCGAGCTGGTTAAAAGGAAAGGAACTGTAATAGAAGCAGCCTTGATTATTTAGATAGATGAGGAAATAAGATGTCCAAAGACAAATAAAATACAGTCGAACGTTATTAGGGTGGCATTTTTTACACTGACACTATCGTGTATTTATTTAATCATTTTTTTAATGCATAACGAGGCAGGTATTTGACCGCAATCTCAGCTGGCTGGTGTTAAGTGAGATGCAGTCTAGGATGGTACATATCTGCCATGTAAGTGCCTATTCACTCTTGCCTTGAAAAGGCCGGGAATATAGTGTTCGGGAAAGACAGCAGCAGCAGGCAACAAATTTCAGTCCCAAGATATTCGTCATTTTTTTCTAAATCTTATTTTATAAATATCTTTAATTGCTTCATATACCTTTTTTGTAATGGTGAGTATTGAAAAAATAGAGTTAGATACATGAAGCTAAGTAACTAACTACTTACTCGTAGCTTTCGTAAGGGACATTCTGTGCTTTTTCGTGTACTGGCGATAGTCACTGGGGCTCCCAACTTACACAATACTATTTTATTAAAGTATAATCCCAGATTATGATCTCTGATCGAAATGATCTCTCGTAATCCACATAGGGTTTTCCTATCACGTAAGACATAAAAAGATACGATGTCAGTGATAAAAAATGCAATAACACACAATTGCTATCCCCTTAGGTAGCAAAAATCTAGAAATGACCGCACTTTAATACCAACCAATTCCACCAAAAGTTCATTTAGATAACGAATTTTTGTGATCATAAATGTACCTATTATTATTTTATTTATTTATTTTATTTTCACCAACTTAAACTGTACCTATTAATGTAAGTTCTACTTACTTACATCATATCATGAATACCACGAGCGAAACAAATATTTATTTTGTTTAATGTGGTCACGTTCTTACTTACTTAGCTAAGTTGTACGCATTGTAGCATTAATGCGAATTTGTTTTTATGTGAACTAGAATATTATTATTGTAAGGGAATGAGATAAAACGTCTACGATTTCTTTCATTTCCACTTATCTAAAAGAAGATAAATATCAAAGTTGACAAACCAGCAAAAGTTTGGGCCTCAAGCGAAGAACAACAAAAGTAATTATATCACCTTATGACGTGGTAAGTGGCTATTGGCCAATTTCGTGCTCCAGCCGAATACCTTAGGGCTCCATTTGCGGTTTCGCGGCAAATTGGTTTATAAAGAATTTAACAATATAATTTATTTGGGAACAAGCCATTTTCGCGGTAGGCCGTAAAGAATAAGTTAGGGATGTCATTTCCCAGCGGGGCCCGTGTAATTTTATTTGAAGTGCAACTAAATGTACCTAATCACGCTATGATGCTAGAGTTAGGAGTTCACAAATCAAATCATTTATATTTTGTAAAAACATAGGTGAACATGTGGAATTCAGGTGGTACATAATGAGTAGAGCTCTATGTTTGGCCTGTGAGTGGCGTACAAATTAGTTACTGGGATGAAACTAATCAAGACCAATTTAATTCGCCAATGACGAAAGAAACATAGACATAATTATCGTCCGCCGCGCCGTGGTCACTTTCTATTATTTATAAGTTGGATTTGAAGTTCGCAAACCGAATGTTAACATGTTTAAATGTCGTGGGACGTCCACCCACAAGGTGGACCGACGACCTGATAAAGGTAGCAGAAAGGCGCTGGTCGCTATCAACCGTGCGATGTGGAAGTCATTGGTGGAGGCCTATGTTCAGCAATGGATGTCCTATGGCTGAAATGATGATGATGATAAAATGTCAGTGTCGGAAATAGCCCGCAGAATTGCTTAAAAAATCAAGTGGCACATAGCTCGCAGAGCTGATGGTCGTTGGGGCAGAAAAGTTATTTTGTGGTGAAAACGGGCCGGAAGACGTAGTGTGGGCAGGCTCCCCACTAGGTGGACCGACGATCTGGTTAAAGTCGCGGGAAGAGCCTGGATGCAGGCGGCGCAGGACCGGTTGTTGTGGAAATCCTTGGGGGAGGCCTTTGTCCGGCAGTGGACGTCATTTGGCTGAAACGAACGGAAACGATACTTATGTGTAAAATACAAAGGTATTTTCAGGAACATATCTAGCGAAGCTGGCATTTGTAATTATAAAAGTGCGGAAACCAAACCTCCAGCAATTTCCTCCCGTCCACACTCGGCTAATCACAATCAATCAAACTGTTCGCTGCAGGTGGGCACAATGAAACAGGTAGGTACAGTCCGAACATCAGACTGGGTAAGTTTACATTTTTGCAAAATGATCTTTTAGGCTTAGTTGCACCAACTTACTTTAACCGTGACTAATAATAATCGATGTTTGTTCAATAAGATGGTGCAACCACAGAATAAGTAATAGTACAGGTACAGAAGGATTACTCCGCAAGACGTTTTAAATAAATGCGAGTCTTGCTACGACGCGATACAGTGGAATTCAGCTCGCACAGCACTACGTACCTACAATTTTATTCACCTACAAGTTTTGTCTCTTTCTATCGCGTGCCTCTGATCTCTTCTTACGCTGTTAGGGTTGCTGTCTAGTGAAAAAATAATTAATCTACTTATTTGTAATGAGGTACGTATGTAGGTAAGTATGCATTCATTATGGAAAGCCTTGGGAGAGNCGGCACAGACTACCGACAACAGCTCTTTGGACAACAGACTCGAAACTCCAAGCGCTGCGCGTAACGAGCAAAAACCTCCGCGATTTGCAGTTTTTGCGATTTCAGTAGCTTAATTCGGCTCTCTTGATGAAGCCGAAGTTTCAGGTAAGCAAAAATTTAGAACCGAGCCCCGCGGCACAGACTACCGACAACAGCTCTTTGGACAACAGACTCGAAACTCCAAGCGCTGCGCGTAACGAGCAAAAACCTCCGCAATTGTTCGGAGTTGACGCGCGACCCAATTAATTCGGAAATTGCAGTTTTTGCGATTTCAGTAGCTTAATTCGGCTCTTGATCGAGAAGCCGATATTTCAGGTAAGCAAAAATGTAGAACCGAGCCCCGCGGCACAGACTACCGACAACAGCTCTTTGGACAACAGACTCGAAACTCCAAGCGCTGCGCGTAACGAGCAAAAAGCTCCGCGATTTGCAGTTTTTGCGATTTCAGTAGCTTAATTCGGGTCTCTTGATGAAGCCGAAGTTTCAGGTAAGCAAAAATGTAGAACCGAGCCCCGCGGCACAGACTACCGACAACAGACTCTCAAGACTCCAAGCGCTGCGCGTAACGAGCAAAAAGCTCCGCAATTGTTCGGAGTTGACGCGCTGCCCAATTAATTCGAAAATTGCAGTTTTTGCGATTTCAGTAGCTTAATTCGGCTCTCTTGATGAAGCCGAAGTTTCAGGTAAGCAAAAATGTAGAACCGAGCCCCGCGGCACAGACTACCGACAACAGCTCTTTGGACAACAGACTCNAGCGAAAACCGACACTAAGGTGACGAACCTTTTCATTCCGCGACTGTACATATAATATTTTATATTAGGTAGGTACTTCTTACGCAGATTAAACCTACTGGAAAAAAGAATCTCTATTTTCCCTTTCATAAAGCTCTTAAAAAGGAGCTTTTACTGAAATGAAACAATTTGTCTCTTCTTCTTTAAAATACTTTTT